CTCCTGCTGTCCATTTCTATATTTCCCAGAGTTCTTGGTTGTAAGCAACAGAAGTAAGACTGGGTTAATTTAAGCAAAAAAAAAAAAAAAAAAATCATTAAAAGGCACATTACGTAGTTCACAAAATCTTTGAGTGCTGGAAGAACCTAGAGATTGAGAAGAAGGAATGAGTCCAGGCATGGTGGCTCACACCTGTAATCTCAGCACTTTGGAAGGTTGAGGCAGGAGGATCACCTGAGGTCAGTAGTTCAAGACCAGCCTGGCCAACATAGTGAAATCCCATCTCTACTAAAAATACAAAAAAATAAAATTAGCTGGGCATGGTGGCAGGTACCTGTAATCTCAGCTACTCGGGAGGCTAAGGCAGGAGAATCGCTTGAACCCAGGAGGCGGAGGTTGTAGTGAGCCAAGATTGCACCACTGCACTGCAGCCTGGGTGACAGAGTGAAACTTCATCCCAAAGAGGAGGAGGAGGAGGAGGAAGAGAAGGAGGGGGGAGGAGGAGAGAGGAGGAAGAAGAGGGGAAGGAGGGGGAGGAGGGGGGAGGAGGAGGAGTAGGAGAGGAGGAGGGCAGGAGGAGGAAAAGGGGGAGGAGGAGGAGGGGGAGGGGGAGTGAAGGGGGAGGAGGGGGAAGGGGGAGGAAGGGGGGGAGGGGGAAGAGCAGGAGGAGGAGGGGGAGGGGGAGGAAGAGGAGGGGGATGGGGAGGAAGAGGAGGGGGATGGGTGAGGAAGAGGAGGGGGACGGGTGAGGAAGAGGAGGGGGAGGGGGAAGAGCAGGAGGAGGAGGGGGAGGGGGAGGAAGAGGAGGGGGATGGGGAGGAAGAGGAGGGGGAGGAAGAGGAGGGGGACGGGGAGGAAGAGGAGGGGGAGGAAGAGGAGGGGGACGGGGAGGAAGAGGAGGGGGAGGAAGAGGAGGGGGAGGAAGAGGAGGGGGATGGGGGAGGGGGAGTAAGAGCAGGAGGAGGAGGGGGAGGGGGAGGAGGGGGAGGGGGAGGAGGAGGAGGAATGGTACCCAAAGCAATGCTGCAGAACTGGTTCGCCACTACCACTGGCTCTGATAGTAGTTTGCCCCACAGAAAATACTAGTGCTGGACACTGGAAATTGCCTGATTGCCTGTATCAGTTAGGCAAGAAGAAAGTTGCAAGTAACAGAAAATCTGGCTAATAATAGAGTAAGAGTAAATGTTTGTCTTTCTTACATATCTAGATGTCAGGTGTTGTAAGCATTGATCCAACCATTTTAAAAATCTGTCAGGGATGCTGACTCTATCCATCCTCCCTCTCTATCATCCTTAGCATATTGCATTTCATCTTCAGAATTGTCCTCTTGTGGTTGCAAGATGGCTGCTCTAGCTCCAGCCATTACATTTGCATTAAAAGCAGAAATTGGAAGAAGACAGAAGGAGTGACTCCTGTATCAGGACAAGGTTTTACCAAAAAAATTCCGTCAGGCCTCCACTTCTATCTCTGGCCAGAGTGGGCCATAAGCCTTCTAGAGCTACAAGGGAACCCAAGAAAGCACTCATTTGGCATGTGCAGCCTCTGTAGTAGGGACAAAGGGAAGAGGGTATAAAGGGTTTGGATAAGTGAACCCCTCACTCGAATAGATGATGCGGTCCATGCTTCCTTAAGTCACAAACTTCCAATTCAAAGTCTGGAGCAGGGGCACTTGATTAGCAGAGCCTAGGCCGTGCGCTCTCATCCATCCCAGGAGCATGACGCCCTGGCACCTGCTGCTTCTGTGGTAGGAGCTTCTACTTTGTTCCCTTCAAAAAGGGAATTTCCCAAGTGGAAAAAGAGGGTGCCCATCCTGGAAGTCCAGACAGGGACGAATATCTTCCCATACTGTTATATATCTTCCCAGACTGGTTTATACATGTCATTAAAAGTTGAAAATTGGCTGCCTGCGGTGGCTCACGCCTGTAATCCCAGCACTTTGGGAGACCAAGGCAGGTGGATCACCTAAAGTCTGGAGTTCTAGACCAGTCTGGGCAACATGGTGAAATCCTATCTTTACAAAAATACAAAAATTAGCTGGGCATGATGGCACGTGCCTGTAATCCCAGCTACTCAGGAGACTGAGGCGGGAGAATTGCATGAACCCTAGAAGTGGAAGCTGCAGTGAGCCAAGATCATGCTATTGCACTCCAGCCTAGGTGACTCCATCTCAAAAAAAAAAAAAAGGTTGAAAATTAACTTTTTGGAAAATGGATATCACATTTGCATGAGATTATCTTTTTTATTATCTGCCATCAGGAATTCTTTTCTGTTTCCTTTTAAATATTTAGGGAAGGAAAGGAAGGCAAGCTAATTGGGGCTACCTGCTTGAAATAAGGTCTGATTTCCATTTTATGACTGCAGGGATGAAAACAGTCTAACACAGATTGATGGTGATAGTTGCATGACTTGGTGAATTTACTGAAAATCAATGACTTGTGCAGTTGAAATGAGCAAACAGACCCCTCCCATGCTTCCTGCCAATAAAACATATCTGTCTGTGTTCCACTTCAGAGGACTAGAATTTCCAAGGTGGCGAGTAGCTCGTTTCAACAACCAAATCCATGCTAGTATTTCCCTGGGAAGGAACACTTTGTACTGTTTGGTTCTGCTGGTCCCAGCTATAGAAATCAATTCTCATTAGGAACCGTATAACCAGCCATAGCCTGCTCAATCTAGAATATTAATAGAGGCTCCCAGACAGAACACACTAGCCAGAAGGAATGTCAGTCAACTAAGGAGAGCAGGCTCCTTAAAAAATGAAAAGCTTGCCAGGCACAGTGGTTCACGCTTTTAGTCCCAGCACTTTGGGAGGCTGAGGCGGGCGAATCATGAGGTCAGGAGTTCGAGACCAGCCTGGTCAGCACAGTGAAACCCCGTCTCTACTAAAAATATTTTTAAAAATTAGCTGGGCATGGTGGCGGGCAGCTGTAATCCCAGCTGCTTGGGAGGCTGAGGCATGAGAATCGCTTGAACCCAGGAGGTGGAGATTGCACCGAGCCAAGTTTGCACCATTGCAGTCCAGCCTGGGCAACAGAGCTAGACTCCATCTCAAAAAAGAAAGGAAACCTTTACCTAATAGCAGAGAATCCTATCATCAGACTGGACTTATTTACATTCAGAGTTGTACGTTGTTAGAGGAAACTACCCCAGCAGTTACAGTAGAATTCTAAAAATTCCAGCTTTGAAAACTGAGGGTCATGTGGCTCTTAGTCTCTGAATAATGCCCATAAAAGACTTTGTTTGCTCTACTCAGTGACAAGTGCTGCTTTACCAAACCTAAAGTGATAGAAACACACAGTTATCTCTTCACTCCCATGATCAGCACATATTAGGTGTTGGGTTCATCACTGAATAAACAACTGAGTCACTGGCTGGAAATCTTGTTCTTAGCCACTCAGGACAAAGTCAACATTTCTTGTGAGGTTTTTGGTTTAAGTCACAATCTTAAAATTTGAATGCTAAGAGTTTCAAAGTTTTCAGGAATGCTGAGATTCAAGGAGTAGGTTAGCATAAGTGATAAGAGGGTTTTGCAGGCTACGATTATTCTTATGTAAAAGCCAGGATGTTTAAAAAGTTCCTATTTTAACTAACAAATTGTACTTTTTGTGAGATATACATGAATTTTATGTCTTTTTTTTTTGCTCTTGTTTTGTAATCCCTAAATTGAAAGACCATCAAGCATGTCAGATTTTTTAAAAACATTATCGAATCAAAGTTCACTCATTTCAAAGTGTACAAGTCAGTGATTTTCAGTAACTTCACCAAGTTGTACAACTATCACCATAAATCTGTCTTAGGCTGTTTTCACCCCTCCAGTCATAAGAAAAATCAGATTTTAATTCAAGCAGGTAGTTCCAGTGGGATTATTTATAATAAACTTCAAATCTAGGATAATCCTTAACTAGTACCTAAGCAAACAGGCAGATGGTGTAACCCTCCTAGAGTTGCTCAGAATGCTCTATTCATGATTCAATAATTTCATTAAAACTTTGATATTAAGTGGATCTGGGGTACAAAAGGAAATTTAGTATAAAAGGTCAAGAACATAGACTATCCTATTCGCCTGAAAACAGAATGAAATTGTTGCTATAGAGGAATCCTAGGCATGTTAACATCATATCCTTGGCAGGGCATGGTGGCTCACACCTGTAATCCCATCACTTTGGGAAACACAGGTGGGTGGATCATGAGGTCATGGGTTTGAGACCAGCCTGGCCAACATGGTGAAACCCCATCTCTACTAAAACTACAAAAATTAGCCAGGCCTGGTGGCACACACCTTTAATTCCAGCTACTCAGGAGGCTGAGGCAGGAGAATTGCTTGAACTCAGGAGACAGATGTTGCAGTGAGCTGAGATCACGCCACTGCACTCCAGCCTGGGTGACATAGTGAGGCTGTGTCCCCTACCCCCTACCCCCCAAAAAATCATACCCTGCTCCGGAAAGTCATGGTGAGTGGTTTGCTCAAGTTTCAGAGGGGAAAATTAGATCCAGTTCTTATTACCAGGAGTTCTTGCAAAGGCATTTAAGCTGCCTGATAATGGTTGATGTTCTTCCTATTAGGTTCCCGTTTTCCTTTCCAGAAAAAGCAGTGTTTCAAGGAGCTCAAACAAGAAGAGGAGGCTGGTTGCACACGCGTAACTTCATTACATCAAAGGGACTGAGAACTGACTACATCTGGCTTTCAAGAGAGTAAGATTTGTGCACTGCAGGGAAAATTAGCTATGATGGTTGCACCACAGGTGTCCCTGGGCATAAAACATGCATAGCCATTGATAGCGGCTGAAGTCTCCAGGCTTTGGTGAACAATGGAAGAAAGGCTTTACCTATGGCCCCAGGGCGGGGCAAATGCAATGAAGGTGAGGGACACCCATTTGAAGCAGTGCCGAGAATGCCGTTCCAGAGGCCGGGCTAGATCCCATTCTTGTGGGGCCCGAAACCTTATTCAATACTGGAGATCCTCTTTAAGGAAAGAAAAAATAAAATTACATATATGAAACTCAGTACTAAAGTGAATATTTATTTAGAACAAGAAATTTATTTGGAACAAATTATGAAGTTTCAGAAACTGACCAATACTACGAATATCATAAAACTCAAAAGAATAATGCAATATTTTTGCTTAGAAATTGCCCGAGGTACCTCTAAACATCCTTTCTCTGCATTTTTTGGGCTGTATATATCTCTCTTCACAGAAGAATGATTCTGCCTGCCCTATAGTCCTAGCTACTGGGGAGGCTGAGGTTGGAGGGTCACTGCAGCCCATGAGTTCGAGGCCATAGTGAGCTATGATCGTGTACTCCAGCCTGGGGGAGGGGGGCCCTGTCTCTAAAAATAAAAATAAAAAATAAAACAAACAACAGCAAAAATAATGATTCTGCAATAATATCTTCCTGTAGAGGGAATAGAAAAATAGTTCATCTCACTTGCACAATTATCACACCTTGTTTTTGTTATTAAAGTTCAGGAGAGTTTTGGCTTCACATCTCTTTGTTAGTCTTGAAGTCTTAGGATTCTTTTCAAGCTTGAGGACGTTGTGCTGAACTTTTCTTTCATTTATGGTCCATAAGCTTCCAGGGCATTTCAGGTTTTCTTGTGCAACAATTAATCTTAAATAGTCTTTGAGTTGACACTCATTACCCAATTTGTTGTGATGTCCATGTTCTGGCATAGTATGAGTTTTAAGTAATCTTCATATTTCAGGCCCAGCCTGCAGAAAGGGAAGAAAAAGGCTGTCGCATAAAGAATGCAGCCCCGGCACTTGGGGCCCCCAGGAACTCGGCCACACCCAGAGCACCATTTGCATTTTCCCTCTGCAAGGCAGAGCACAGTGACTGCTTTGTGCTAAGAAAGGGAAGAGTGACCTCCCTGCCCACAGCACAAGTGAAGGTCTTCTTGGGACAAGCGCCATCTGTGTCTTCTCATCTGGAGACCAGGGGACAAGGGGAGAGAAAGGAAGCAGGAAGGAAAACAGGGCCCCTGCTAGTGGGAGCTTTCTGAGCTCTGGGAGATCCAGGTCTTGGTTGGTAGGATTTGGCCAGAAGAGGCCCCACTTCAGACAGATGCCCTGGGAATAGACAGAGCCTGCTAGAGTAGACAGGGAACTTAAACTTGGTCCAAGAGCACTTGGAAGCAGATTCTTAAAAAAGTGCCTCTTAGTTTCACTCTCTATGTGGGAAAACAGCAGGGATTACAATTTCAAAAGGAATAATGCTGGATCTCATACTGGGAAAGCAACCAAAAGGAATCCACAGAACAGCATAGGGGAAAGCCTGGAACTTGCAGGGCTTTTCCCAGGAGAAAGGGAATTATAGGTGATAAGAAGCAATTAGGAGTCAGTGGATGGGTGAGTGGCCGCTCCTCTCTGCAGGCGATCACAGCACAAAGCCACACTGTGGCTGCAGCAGCCGTGGCCTGACTCACGTATGCTGCCTCAGCACATCCGGGCTGTGGGAATATTGCCAGCCTTCTGCTTGACAACCTACACAACCAAGCCTCAGGGCGATCATCTGCAGCTGTCCGATGACAGCCCACCACCAGGTAACAGCAGCACCTGCACAGTCTCTTGTCAGCAAGCTGGGTGAATTTCTGGAAAGGACTGGGGCCCCAGAGAAGGAGACAGGCCACTGGCATGCTGATACCGGCTACTGAGGCGAGAAATGGGTCACTCTGGGCTTTGCTGGGATGCACAGGTGCTGTGCCACTGATGCACCGTAAGCACAGCCTCGGCGATACCCACAGCTCTTCCTGTCCAGACTAGGTCATCAACCTATTGGGAAAATGAAATAAAATACTGCACGTAAGTGCCTGGCCCTACATCTGAAACACAAGAGCTCATCAATTAGGGGCCATGAGTGGTGCGGATCCTGACAGTGTAATGGTGGTGATGGAAGACCTTGAGCTGTTTTACTTTAATGGTGCAGGTAGATGCTGGTCTGTATGGCCCTTTATCTCTCTCCCCCTTATAACAACGGATGTGGGGCTGGGCACGGTGGCTTGTGCCTGTAACGCCAGCACTTTGGGAGGCTGAGGTGGGCAGATCACCTGAGGTCAGGAGTTTGAGACCAGCCTGGCCAACATAGTGAGCCTCTACTAAAAATACAAAAATTAGGCTGGGCGTGGTGGCGAGTGCCTGTAATCCCAGCACTTTGGGAGGCCAAGGAGGTTGGATTACTTGAGGTTAGTAGTTCGAGACCAACCTAGCCAACATGGTGGAACCCCATCTCTACTAAAAATACAAAAATTAGCCAGGCATGGTGGTGCCTGCCTGTAATATCCCAGCTACTCAGGAGGCTGAGGCAGGAGAATTGCTTGAACCCTGGAGGTGGAGGTTGCAGTGAGTCGAGATTGTGCCGCTCTACTCCAGCCCGGACAACCAAATGAGACTCTGTCTCAAAAAAATAAAAAAAGTGACTGGGCCACACATGACCCTGAAATGAGCAGTCACTTACTAGGTACACAATTTCCCGGCTCCGGGACTGAGAATCACAGGATTAAGATGGGAAGAAGGAAGTGTAGAATTAGGGAAGGGCTCAAAGGACAAGTAGGAGCTAGGAAAGTGAAAAGAAAAAGAAAGGTTTGGTGCACAGAAAAGTAGGGGGTCAGATAGCACAGCCTGTGTGAGCTGCGAGGAATGAGAGCAAGAGCAAGCAGGTTTTGGACCTGAAGAGGTCAGACCAGAAGACGTAGAGGGGGAGGAGGACCATAGATTGGAGTTAAATCAGCCAAACAAGTAAACAAACCCCAAACAATCATTTCTAAGGTGTTAGAATTAAACAGTTTAACATACAGTATTTCATTCATTCCCTAAACCTGTCTTTATTAATGTATAATTATTGTTCTTTCTGTCTAATGGATGATTAAAGGAAGCTCAGGGTTAGGGACCTTCCCTAAAGGCACACAGCTAATTGGGGTCAGAGGTGGCCCAGAAAGCCTCCTGTCTAGCTCTGAGCCACTGGGTAATGTGGCCTAAAAGACCCCGTGAGGACCCACCACTTCCACCAACCTGGGATGACATCGCAGCTGATTCCACGACCACAGCAGTGGGCCCTGGGCCCGATGACCTTATGAGCTGCAACCCCCTGCTGATGCTGAACTGTCTGGCTGGTGTCCTTGAATATGCAGCCAGGCTCTGGACTCTGGTCCTTCCAGTGAGGGCAGCGAGGCCAAGGGCCAGTGGGCAGCCGGTTCTGTTCCGCTCCAGTAAGTGCTGCTCGAGTAATGGCATTTTATTGAACTCTGAGCTGCTGTGGAGGTTGCATCTTGGTCGGGATCCTTCCTGACTCTGCAATAGTGAGCTGTGAAAGAGTCAGTGCTGGCCAGCCACAGTGGCTCACACCTGTAATCCCAGCACTTTGGGAGGCTGAGGCAGGATTTGAGCTCAGGATTCGAGAGCAGCCTGGCCAACTGGCCAAACTCCGTCTCTACTAAAAATACAAAAAAATTAGCTGGGTGTGGTGGAGCATGCCTGTAATCCCAGCTACTCAGGAGGCTGAACCCAGGCTGAACCCAGGAGTTTGAGGTTGCAGTGAGCTGAGATTGTGCCACAGCACTGACAAGCCCCCGCAGGCTGGGAGCACGTGGACCTCGCCAATTGGTTAAAGGCAGAACACAGTGACCACTGTGACAAGTGCTGAGGCTCCAGAGATGTTATGACACCAGCCTGGGCCTCAAGGAGCCTGCCATCCAAAGACCACCAAGATGGCTCTGTGGTTGAAAGGAGAGAGCTTTGGGCCAGGCGTGGTGGCTCAGCCTATAATCCCAGCACTTTGGGAGGCCAAGGCCCACAAATCACCTGAGGTCAGGAATTCAAGATCAGCCTGGTCAACATGACAAAACCCTGTCTCTACTAAAAATACAAAAATTAGCCAGGCATGGTGGCAGGTGCCTATAAACCAGGCTACACAGGAGGCTCAGGCAGGGAGAATTGCTTGAACCCAGGAGGCAGAGGTTGCAGTGAGTGGAGATCATACCACTGCCGTCCAGCCTGGGTGACAAGAGCAAGACTCCATCAAAAAAGAAAAAAAAAGGAGGGAGAGGTTTGTTGGTGATATCAGTTTACAAACTGGGAAGAGATGGTCTCTACTTTGGACTGAAGGTCTCTTCAAATAGAGAAAGGGCAGGATGTGTGTTAGGCCTCACAGGGTCTGTGTTACACAATAGCGTCATGCATATTCAGTAACTTTGGGGCTAAATCAATACATATTTATGAGGGGAGCCCAGTGTATGTGCAATAGGTAAACATATACGTAACATACATCCCATGTTCACTTTGTGGGGGGCCCTAGATGAAAATGAGGTGGAATTTGGCTCTTTATGTCAAAGGTAACCTAAAGGACACAGACAGTTTATGTGGCGTCTCTAGACGTGACTAGAACTGGCTTGGAGTGTGCAGCTGCTTATCAGGAAAGAGTGTTTGTAAGATGGTCCTCTGTCCAGTCAGAGTTGTAGTGGGCTGGGTTGTGAGTCGGAGTGAGGGTAATGTGCCTGCTAGCTCCTGTGGTTAGGGAGTTTAGCAAGAATATGTTTTTTCCTGTAGAAATTTAAGAAGTTGCCCCGGCAGCCAAACTTTGAACCCTCGACCTGTTGGTAACTCTTGGCTCCTGAACCTTAGGGTCTGTCTTAGTGGTAAAGGGGTGTCTCTTTTGGTGTTGTTTTGTTTCATGTTGTTTTTGAGACAGGGTCTTGCTCTGCCACCCATGCAGGACTGCAGCCGCACAATCATGGCTCACTGCAGCCTTGACCTCCTGGGTTCAAGTGATCCTCCCACATCAGCCTCCCAAGTAGCTGGGACTACAGGTGTGCACCATCACACCTGGCTCTTTTGTCCAGGCTGGTCTTGAGTTCCTAGGCTCAAGGGATCCTCTCACCTTGGCCTCCCAAAGTGCTGGGATTACAGGTATGAGTCACCATTCTCGGCCAGGGGTGTCTATTTTGGTATCTCAGATCATAACCTAAGACAGACACACATCCACCCTTGTGCCATGTGGTTAAATAACCATGGGCAAATGGTGCCACAGAAGCCCACAGGAGGGAGCCCCAGGCTCTCGGTGAGAATCTGAGCAGCTGTCACCACCCTTGGAAGAAGTCGTCTGGTCTTCCAGACCAGAGGATGTGAGTGGCCCTGCAGTGCCCTGCACTACTGCAGGAGTGAGAGGCAGGCCAGAGCCGCAGCAGGAGTCACTGATCAAGAGTAGATGAACGTCAGGATCTGACTCCGTAGAGACTATCAGTCAAGGCTGTCTGAGCTACAAACATCATAAACCACATCTCTTAACTTCAGCAAGAAAGGAAGAAAGATTAGCCAAGGAATCAATGCCCAGGTTGGCCTAAGATGTGCCAAAACTAGGCAGAATCTCTGGCAGATGCCTGCTCCCCGACAACCCCCAAGTGGGGCTTCTCCCCCCCGCAGGGCTGTGGCTGCTGCAGCCCTGCATGCATTTTCAAAGACCTGCCAGGAGAGCAGGTCTGTGGCTCACATCTGCAATCCCAGCACTTTGTGAGGCTGAGGTGGGAGGTTGGCTTGAGGTCAGGAATCTGATACCAGCCTGGGCAACATAGCAAGACCTTCGTCTCTATAAAAAATCAAAAACATTAGCCAGCATGGTAGCATGCACCTGCAGTCCCAGTGAATCAGGAGGCTTAGGCAGGAGGATCGCTTGAGCTCAGGAATTCGAGGCTACAGTGAGCTGTCATTGCACCACTGCACTCCAACCTGGGTGACAGAGTGAGACCCCAGCTCTTAAACAACAACAACAAAAGAGTAGGCAGGAAGGCGGCTTCCACCCCCAGGCGTAGCTGGAGAATTCCTGGGGACAGGGCCATGGGCCCCCTCTAGAGTGAAGCCTCCTTCACCCCTTCCTAGATGGAAACTCCTTGACAAGCAGTTGGTTCAGCCTCTGCCTTTGTGGCAGCATGGCCCAGGGGTTGGCTCTAAACAATCAAGACAACTTCTCTAGTTGAATATATCTGAGAAATGCAGGGCTAAGCAAGGAGTGTTAGTCGGCTTGAGCTGCCATGGCAAAGTGCCCCAGACTGGGAGGCTTCAACAACACCGATCTCTAGTTCTGGAAGCTGAAAGTCCGAGGCCAAGGTGTTGGCAGGGCTGCTTTCTCCAGAGGCCACTCTCCTTGGCTGCAGACGGCCACCCTGCCCTGTGTCCTCACACCGGCTTCCCTCTGCACGTGTCAGTATCCTCATCTCCACTTCTTGTCAGGACCAGTCACATCAGATTAGGACCCACACTGATAGCCTCATTTTACCTTAATTACCTCCATCCATCCTCCAAACACAGTCACATTCTGGGTACTGCAGGTTAGAGCTTTGACATGTAAATCCCAGGCAAATATCCAGCCCGTAACACAAGCTTACCAGGTCATCCGAGGTGAGTGGCGGCAGGAGGTGAGCTTGCCTGTGACCATCATTCCTGGTCCTCACTGGCTTCTCTCTTTGTGCCAGGCTCAGTTCTATGTACTTTTCATGCAGTCCGGAAGTAACCCCTATTATCCTTGTAAGGACCTTCATTGGTCCTTACATTGACATTTCCCAAGAAAAGCAAAACAAAACAAGGCTCAGGTATCCGGATTGGTTTCAGACCGGAGCAGGAAGGGTGCAGGGAGAGGATGATAGGCTGGAGCAGGCCCCGTTCCGCCTGCGTTTTCATCTGTCTTTAAGGCACATTGCAAACTCACATTGTTGCTTGCCCAGTGTGTTGGTTACAAGATCATTTAGCTAATCAAATTCATCAACAGATTTACTAAATGTATTGAATTTGCTAAAGACTTACTTGGTGTTGTACATGGAACAAGACAGCTGGAAAGCTTGCAAGGGTAAGACATGATCTGGTGGGGGAAGTGCTTTCATGATTACTTGTAGGTGAATATAGACACTCTGGAACATTGAAAAAAGAGTGAAGAACACTGAGAATTTGATCACACACTGGGGACTGTGGTCAATGATGGTTTAATTGTATATTTTAAAATGGCGGCCAGGGGCGGTGGCTCATGCCTGTAATTCCAGCAATTTGGGAGGCTGAGGCAGGTGGATCACCTGAAGTCAAAAGTTCAAGACCAGCCTGGTTAACATGGCAAAACCCTGTCTCTACTAAAAATACAAAAATTAGCTGGGCATGGTGGCACATGTTTGTAATCCCAGCTATTTGGGATATAAGAGACAAGAGAATTGCTTGAACCTGGGAGGCAGAGGTTGCAGTGAGCCAAGGTCGTGCCACTGCCCTCCAGCCTGGGCAAAAGAGTGAGACTCTGTCTCAAAAAATAAATAAATAAAATAAAATGGCTAAAAGACTGTGGCTGGATTGTTTGTAACAGAGAAGATAGATGCTTGAGGGGATGAATACTCAATAATCCATGATACAATTGTGCATGTCATGTTTGTATCAAACTATCCCATGTACCCCATATAAATGTACCTCAATTATGTACCCACAAAAATGTTAAAAAAAAAAAAAAAAAAGCCAGGTGTGGTGGCTCACACCTATAATCCCAGCACTTTGGGAGGCCGAGGTGGGCAGATCATGAGTTCAGGAGTTTGAGACCAGCCTGGACAACATGGTGAAACCCTGTCTCTACTAAAAATACAACAATTAGCTGGGTATGGTGGCAGGCGTTTGTAGTCCCAGCTACTCGGGAGGCTGAGGCAGGAGAATCAGTTGAACCTGGGAGGTGGAGGTTGCAGTGAGCTGAGATAGTGCCACTGCCCTCCAGCCTGGGTGACAAAGCAAGACTTCATCTTGGGAAAAAAGAATAAAAAAATAAAATATAAAGAAACTCTGGAACCCTATGAAAGAAACTAATAGCAATGGTTAAGGGTGGGACCTGGGGAGGTGAGGACAGACGAATAAGGGAGCACTGTCACTGCATGCATTTTGTATATTGTTATATTTTTGAGTTGTATATCTACTTGGCCTATTCACAAAAATTATGTTGAGAGGGAGAGAGAGACGGAGTGGTTGTCAGACATGAGCCCTTCCTCAAGGGGCTTAGAACTAGTCCTGCTGGCATCAGGCCTTGATTTGAACAACACGGCAAGGCTAAATGATTTCACTTCCTCAGGCAAGAGCCTGTGAGAGTACGTGGGACTAGACCCACCATCTGTGTTTTGCAAGTAAAGAACGGAGGCCAAGAGAGAGCGTGTGGATGCGACCCCACGGTGAGCTGGGGACTGCGCCTGAACACAGGCCAGGTCCCTGATTTCTCATTCGGAACCCTCTTCACTGCATCTGTGGTTGGCCCTTTGAGAAGTTGGTAATGGAGTTTCTATTATCAGTCACTCAAAGAACATGGCTTCTTGGGGTTCACATTTTGGTGGAGAAAATAAGGTAGATACTCAAATGAACCTATGAGTACACGTTGTAGTAAGTCCAATGAAAGAGGAAAAAGGATGGCACAGGAAGGAATAGCCAGGGGAGCACTTGGCTTGGTGGTCAGGGAAGGCTCTGGCTCAGTGACATTCTGTGAGATTGCCGAGCTAAGAGAGGGCTGCTGAGGCGTAGACAGGACTGTATGAGACAAGGATTCATTCCCTGAGCCCAAAGCCGGTGGTCTTATAACACAACGTGGGCTCCCTGTTGGCTCATCAACTGCCAAACACGTCTTATGTGCCCAGCTTGGTACCAGTCAATTTGGGATAAGTTGAAAACAAAGTAGAAAACATGCTTTTTGACCCCAAAAAACTTACCTCGTAGTTGGAGAAGTGAAAATAACCCAGAAACAACCACAGAGTGCTTTAGAGAGTCATGGGATATGGCTGGGCACCGTGGCTCACGCCTATAATCCCAGCACTTTGGGAGGCCGAGGTGGGTGGATCACCTGAGGGAAGGAGTTCGAGACCAGCCCGGCTAACATGGTAAAACCCCATCTCTACTAATAATACAAAAACTAGCCAAGCATGGTGGCACATGCCTATAATCCAAGCTACTTGGGAGGCTGAGGCATGAGAATCGCTTGAACTCCAGAGGTAGAGGTTGCAGTGAGCCGAGATCATACCACTGCACTCCAGCCGGGGCAACAAGAGCGAAACTCCATCTCCAAAAACAAAAAAGAGAGAGAGAGAGAGAGTGTGTCATGGGTTAGGGGAAGAAAGAAGGAGAGACGAAACCAGGTGTGACTTATTTAGCAGATGGAAAAATGGAGAAGGCCTGACAGGGCAAGGAATCGAGGTGGGTAGACCTGTGTTATGGAGAGAGACACACCGGTGTTGAATCCCAGCTCCTCTGCGTGCCAGCTGGGTAACATTGGGCAAGTTATTTTTTCTGTTCGATCCTCAGTCTTCTAATCTGGAAATTAAGTCATATGTTTCCTACTTCTTATGTGGCTGGAAACATTAAATGAATGTAGGCTTTTGGAGAATGAAATGCCTGTGGCGCACAGCCGTCTACGATGTGGGATGGCCCATCTCCCGGGGACGGAGCTGGGTGAATTTCCAGTGTCAGCTGCAACCACCGGCTCAGCCTCCTGGTTAATAACCATCTTTAGGGCTACAGATAGCTGTCCACATCTCTGCCCCCTAATTAGCAGTCCTAACCAAGTGATAGGTGGGTTGGGTGGAAACCACACACAACTGCTAAGGAGACCAGCGGGGTTTGTGAAAGGAACCAGCCTCCCTCCCTCCCCACTCTCGGCAGTGCCCTAGGCTCTCACTCAGCATAGCCAGCTTTCAAAGAACTCTAGGCAGAATCGCTCTCTCCTCAATGAATTAACTTTAAGGCCATTTATTTCAACTCACAACATAAACATAGTTAAAATCAAGAGTGAAACTAAAGTTATTTCCTCTAGAGAAGCACCTTGGATGACTTGCACATTTCTATCAGCAACAATCATCTAGAATCAGGTCACGGTCAAGGGTGAAGGGTGAAGTCTATGATTCCCAGCACCAGGAGAGGATGCAGCCACTACCTTGATACCTTGGAAAGTGTGGATCAGTTTAATCTGAAAAATGTTGAACAATCTTTAAACACAGATGTTCCCACTTTCTGGATTTTCAGGTTGAAAGACATGGAAACTACCCCTTTGTTTTACACATGAAGGCTGCTGAGCCTTCTGAGATTGGCTAGTCAGTGGCAGATCTAGAAAAAAACCAGGACCCAAGCATTCTGATGCAGAGATGTCTTTCAGCCGCACCATTCCGCCTGCCTCTCTGTCTTGTGTGAGCTCATCTGAAGCAGCAAGCTCTTGTAGTCTGTGATCTGGAGGCAGGAAGAGCATCCCCACTCTCCACCCTCCTTAAAATGCCCCCCATAAGAAGTCTCTCTACTCCAGCCCAGGATTACAACACTTACTCTGAGGAACATATAGAGACTGCGTGCATTTCCTCTAATGCTTTGTCACCCTGAGAGGTCCCTCCAAAGAAAGGATGCTTACATAGTGGGAAGGGTCAGAAATTACCAAGTCCTGATGTCCAGTCCTTGCTCTGCCCCTTGCTGATTTTCGCCTTATCAAGACATTGATCTCTTTTCTAGAGTAGCACACATTTATTTATTGTCCAGAAAAAAGGTACACTAAGCACTGAGACATAAAGAGGGCAAGCAAGATCCGCCTTCCTCCCTCCTCAACCCACTTCCAGGACCTTGCCCTGATATGGAGATAGACAGACACATAGGCGACTACATCACAAATTTTAGGATAGAGTGACCACATATGCAGAGACAGGGAGGCATGGGGCAGCCTGGGTTCCAGCACTGGGAATGCAGATGGTTCTACTGCAGACTGCCAAGGGGTGGGGTGAGGATAATGTTAGAGGTCACCAGGGCCAGATGACAAGGGACATCCTATACCTAACTAAGGAGGTTAGATGTTATCCTGTCAGCTCAGGCTGCACTCGTAGACTTGAGGGCAGGATCACATTTCCCTGGTAGAAAGATCATACTTGTCTAATTGGCAAAGCCAGAGACAGGGAACCCAGGCAGGTGGTTCTTGAAATGTTCTAGGGAGCAAGGATGAGTTCCTGAGCCAGGAGAAGGAGAAGCCTGAAGAGAAGACCCTGATTGAGTCCAGGAGTTCGAGACCAGCCTGGGCAACATAGTGAGACCCTGTCTCTAATTTAAAAATAAATGAATAAAAAGGGGAGACTGATTTTAAAAAATGAAAAGAGGCTGGGCACAGTGTCTCATGCCTGTGATCTCAGCACTTTGGGAGGCCCAGGCAGGCAGATTACCTGAGGTCAGGAGTTTGAGACCAGTCAGACCAATATGGTGAAATCTCATCTCTCTTAAAAATACAAAAATTAGCCAGGCATGATGGCCGGTGCCTGTAATCCCAGCTACTTGGGAGGCTGAAGCAGGAGAATCGCTTGAACCCGGGAGGCAGAGGTTGCTGAGATCACACCACTGCACTCTAGCCTGAGTGACAGAGTGAGACTCCATCTCAAAACACCAAAAAGAAACAAAACAATCAAACAGAAAAAGATGAAAAGAAAGGAACAAGACAAGACCCAAGAGGTAGCAGTGGAAACTCAGGAGAGTGTTATGGAAACCTCAGGAGGAGACCATTTCTGAGAGTGACTGGAAAACAAGATGGTCAAATGCTACAGACCAGAAATAAGACAAAACCAGGAAGCAGCCCATGAAATTCAGCCCCCAGAAGGTCTTTGACAGCCTGAAGGGGATCAGTTCTAAGGCAGCCATGGGCAAAAGCCAGACTGCAAGTGCTAAACAGAAAACACAAAAGCGAGGTCAGGAAGAAAGCCTCTGTTTCCTCACCTGACAATGGGAACAGCAATAAAATGCGTTGAGACTGGATTCAAAAGCTTTCAGATGGATGATTAGGAAGTCCTGGAGCTGGGTGGAGGTGACAGTTCCAACAACATCATGAATGGACTTCACGGCACTGAATGGTATACTTCATATGATTTAGATGGTACATTTTGTCTTATGTATATCACCGCACTGAATGGTATACTTAGAATGATTTAAATGATACATTTTGTCTTATGTATGTCAGGCACTGAATTTTATGCTTAAAATGATTTAAATGATACATTTTGTCTTATGTGTATCACAGGAAAGGATACATTTTGTCTTATGTATATTAGAGCACTGAATTGTATACTTGAAATGATTTAGATGATACATTTTGCCTTATGCATATTAGGCACTGAATTTTATGCTTAAAATGATTTAAATGATACTTTTTGACTTACATATATCATGGCACTGAAGTGTATAATTAAAATGATTTAAATGATACATTTTGTCTTATGTATATTTTACCATAATTTTTTTTTTTTTTTTTTTTGAGACGGAGTTTCGCTGTTGTTACCCAGACTGGAGTGCAATGGCACAATCTTGGCTCACCGCAACCTCCGCCTTCTGAGTTCAAGCAATTCTCCTGCCTCAGCCTCCCGAGTAGCTGGGACTACAGGTACACACCACCATGCCCAGCTAATTTTTGTATTTTTAGTAGAGACAGGGTTTCACCTTGTTGACCAGGATGGTCTCGATCTCTTGACCTCATGATCCACCCTCCTTGGCCTCCCAAAGTGCTGGGATTATAGGCATGATTAAAGGGGGAGAAAAGCTTACTGAAAACGACAGTGTTTTGTGCAGGTGTTGATTATTTATTTAGAAGGTTGAGGCAGAGAGGCATGTGCTGAAAGCTTGGAGAGGTAAGGGGCTGATTGATCAAGAGTTTGAGGTGTAGGGAAAGCTCAGAGAGAAAGGAGGCCACATCCCACTCAGGTAATGGGTCCAGGCTGGTCCCTGCCAAGTGCTGTAAGATATGGGAGTCAGAACTGACTGCAGCCCCACAATCGAGGTGTCTTCTTTTGCGGGGGAGGCAAAAGGGAGAAGAGGAGGCAGCAACTTCTCAGAAGCAGCACCACCATCCTCACTTGGGCACAGGGTCCTCCAAGAACCAAATGAGAAACTGCACGTGAAAACCCTGGGTGAAATGCTACGCATTAGAGGATCACGAGGTAGACCACCCTTAGTGTCCCCTGATCTTATGATTTTGCATTGTACTAATTAATACAATATGAAATCATTTTTTATTGAGAAGAATTTGGAAAGTATAGAAAACCATGGAATAAAATGTAAAATAGCCATTGTCAGGCCAGGAGCGGTGGCTCACGCCTGTAATCCCAGCAGTTCGGGAGGCTGAGGCGGGTGGATCATGAGGTTAGGAGATCGAGACCATCCTGACTAACTCGGTGAAACCCTGTCTCTAAAAAAAAAAAAACAACAAAAAAAACCCCACAAAACCACTGTCTCACAACCTGACTTTTTTTTTTTTTTTTTTCGAGACAGGGTCCTGTTCTTTTGCCCACACTGGAGTGCAGTGGTGAAATCATGACTCACTGCAACCTCTGCCTCCCGGGCTCAAGCAATCTTCCCACCACAGCCTTCCCTAGTAGCTGGTATGACAGGTGTACACCATCATGTCTGGCTAATTTTTGTAGTTTTTGTAGAGATAAGGTTCTGCCATGTTGCCCAGGCTGGTCTTGAACTCCTGGGCTTAAGCGATTTGCCCACCTCAGCCTCGAAAAGTGTTGGGATTACAGGCCTGAGCCACCCTGCCTGGCCATGACAACCTGAACAATTTTATAATCTGATTTTTAAATACATTTTCTTATTATAGCTTGATATTCATATTCATAATTAAAAATCTGGAAAATACAGAAAAGTATAAAGAAGTAAATATGAATCTCCTGTAATCTCACAGTTTATAAGTATTACATCAGTCTTATTGATAGTCTTTTCATAAATGTCCTTTAAAAAATTATGGTATATTGGCCAGGAACGGTGGCTCAAGCCTGTAATCCCAGCACTCTGAGAAGCTGAGGCAGGTGGATCACCTCGGGTCAGGAGTTCAACACCAGCCTGACCAACATGGTGAAACACCATCTCTACTAACTACAAAAAATTAGCTGGGCATGGTGGTGGGCACCTGTAATCCCAGCTACTTGGGAGGCTGAGGCAGGAGAATCACTTGAACCTGGGAAGCAGAGGTTTCAGTGAGCTGAGATCATATTATTGCACTCCAGCCTGGGCAATAAGAGCAAAATTCTGTCTCAAAAAACAAAACAAAACAAAACAAAAAACCCATATATTTTTATATAAACTATTCCTTCCACTAAATATACCATGAATATTTTATCATATTATGGAATATTTTTTAAACATTATTGTTAATGACTACATAGTATATCATCTTGTACATGTAAAATTCTTATGAACAGTTGTTTTCAGTTTTCGAGAAAAAATGAAATATATTTGCTTTTTAAAATTAATTATAACGATTCCATGCAGCAAACATAGAAAAATTCAGAAATAGAAAAAAACACCACTTGCAATTCTACCACCTAGATAACTGTTAGCATATGGGTCTGTTATAAAAAAAAAATTGTATGTCTTATTTTATACACAAATCAACACACATGTATATATACCTTTTTAATTTTTTACTTATGAATCTATTCTGAGGCTGGGCACGGTGGCTCACACTTGCAATCCCAGCACTTTGGGAGGTCGAGGCAGGCAGATCATGAGGTCAGGAGTCCCAGACCAGACTAGCCAACATGATGAAACCCTGTCTCTACTAAAAATACAAAAATTAGCTGGGTATGGTGGCAGGCGTTTGTAGTCCCAGCTACTCGGGAGGCTGAGGCAGGAGAATTGTTTGAACCTGGGAGGTGGAGGGTGCAGAGAACTGAGACCACACCACAGCACTCCAGTCTGGTGACAGAGTGAGAATCTTTCTCTAAATAAATAAATAAATAAATCTATTCTGAACATTTTCTTAAATCAATAAAATTCTAAAGAACAATTTTTATTTGTATTTATTTATTTATTTTGAGACATGATCTCACTTTGTCACCCAGAATGGAGTACAGTGGCACCATCAAAGTTCACTGTAGCCTTGACCTCCCTGGGCTCCTGTGATCTTCCCACCTCACCTTCCTAAGTAGCTTGGGCCACAGGTGTACACCATCATACCTGGCTAATTTTTGTATTTTTTGTAGAGATGGGGTTTTGCCATGGTCCCCAGGCTGGTCTCAGACTCCTGGGCTCAATCTGACCACCTTAGCTTCCCAAAGTGCTGGGATTACAGGCGTGCGCCGCCACACCTGGTTAATGCATTAAAGAAATTTTTTTTTTTTTTGTAGAGACAGTCTCATTGTGTTCCCCAGGCTAGTCCTGGCTTCAAGTGATCCTCCTGCCTCAGCCTTCCAAAGTTCTGGTATTACAGGCATGAGTCCCCACTCCCAGCCTTCACTGACATTCTGATTAGCAAGCTGGCTTTCCTCCACCCCTGCCTCCCAACTCCTACCACCTACCCATTTTTCTTTGAATTAGACGGATGCTTAACAACTTCTCTAGGATGTGGTTACTGACAGGAGAAATAATGCCCCTGAGATGGAATTGGCCATGCCCTGAAATTATCTAAGTCAGTAACATCTAGCGAACACCTAAAACTCCTCTGATGTGCCTAACATTTCATGAAATGTTGAATGTACAAATATTAACATCAATATGCCCCCCAGCCTCAGGAGGCACTCAGCTCTGCAGGGAATGCGGACACACAGGTGTGGTGTCTGGGGCAGAGCCTGTGCGCTGAGCTCAAGGCAGGCCACATCATCCTCCCAGGTTCTCCCAGTTCAGAAACATTTGCTGTTGCACCTTGCTCTGAATGACACGTGATGGGGAAAGAACTGGTATAAGGCATACAGCAGGAAAGCAGATTGGGCAGCTTAGATGGCACAATCCTATCAGACAGAGCAACAAGACCTGTCCTGTGTGATCCTTTATACAAAAACAACATAATCTAGCAACTCTTTCACTCCTACAGATAATCAGTGCCCACAGCCCCTCCCTTTCTCTGCCCTCATTCAGTGCTTTGTAGGTGCTGTGCTCCTCCTGCCCCAGGACCTTCGCACAGGCCACATCCTGCCCAGAACCTGCTTCCTGACCTCTTTGACTAGATAAGCCTTTCTCAAGCTGTTGATCTTGACTCAAATTTCATTTCCCCAACTGATGTGGGTTGAGTTGTGTTCCCCCAAAAGATACATTGAAGTCCCAACCCCCCAGTAGCTATGACAGTGACCTTATGGTCAGGTGCCATAAGGCCTGACTAAAATGGTGAAACCCCATCTCTACTGAAAAAAATACAAAAATTAACCAGGCGTGGTGGCAGGCACCTGTAATCCCAGCTACTCAGGAAGCTGAGGCAGGAGAATTGCTTGAATCAGGGAGGTGGAGGTTGCAGTGAGCTGAGATCGCGTCATTGCCCTCCAGCAACAGAGCAAGACTCCATCTCAAAAAAAAAAAAAAAAAAAGTGACTTTATTTGGAAATGGGGTCTTTGCAGATATAATCAGGTGAAAATGAGGCCATGCTGGAGGAGGGAAGAACATACATCCAATGACTGGTGTTCTCCTAAGGAAAGAGATGTTTGGACACACAGACAGGGACACAGAGGAGAAAATCATGTGACACCAAAGGCAGAGACTGCAGTGATGCGTCCACCACCCGAGAAATGTCTAGCAAAGCCAGATACTGGGAAGGGCCAGGAAGGGGCCTCCTTCTTATGAACAGTTGTTTTCAGTTTTCAGGAAAAAAATGAAATAAATGTATTTGCTTTTTAAAATTAATTATAATGGTTCCATGCAGCAAACATAGAAAAATTCAGATAGAAAGAAAGAAAAAAAAAAAAAATCGTAATCCTACCACCTGGATAACTGTTAGCATTTGAGTCTATTTTTTAAAAAAAATTGTATGTCTTATTCCATACACAAATCAACACACACGTATATATACCTTTTCAAATTTTGCTTGTAAATCTATTCTGAACATTTTCTTAAATTGATACAATTCTATAGAACGATTATTTATTTAGAGACATGAGCCTCTAGAGGGTGCATGGCCCTCCTTAACCTCAGCCTTGAACTTCTAGCCTCCAGAAATGTAAGAAGAAAATCCTGTTGGTTCAAGCCCCTCAGTTTGTGGTACTTTGTCACGACAGTGCTGGGAAACTAACACACCAAGAAATGCTTTCTCCACCTCCCCAACTAGAACACAGAGTTCCCCTCTGAGACGCTTGTCGTTGTATCTATACATTCACCGTATCATTTAACTACCATCTATCTCCCCACCAGGCTATCAGCTCCATTAAGGGGAAGCATCTTGTCCTCCCCAGGTCCTGGTATGTAAGGTTGGAATAGTTCCTGAATGAACACGCGGCTCATGAGGCAGGTATCCCGTGCCCGGCCACATGCTGACATGTGTGCGACACAGGAAGGGACCTGGATGAGAATTTCAGAGTCCGGTGCCCCCATCCACTCGTGGCCCTGAACGCTCCACCGTGGGACTGCTTTGCTAACCATGACTTTGCAAGCAACGCTTCATTTACTCTCACAGCAGCTCAACCCACGGATCCCAGCATTATCCCCGCTTGACGATGAAATTGAGGGTTGCCAGAAGTTCGTGAATGGCAAAACCAGAGCTTGAGTTTATATCTGTGGGGCTCCAAATCATATGGTGCAATCATCAAGCACCTCCCAGAGCTCCTGCTCTGTTCTGTTGGCTGGGCCAGGTCCTACACTGCAGGGTAACTGCGTGTGGTTAAACTTGTCATTCGAATGTGTAAAGGCAGAGTGAAGGCCGGATCATCCCTGGACCGGGTGCTTCACTTGCTCAAGGCTCTGCATCCGGGGTGTGGAGCCCTCTAAGGAGTAAAACCCTTCCTATCAATCACCTGGAGGTCGAATACCCTTGCTGCTGTGCCCACCACTGACATCTCTACTGCTCTCACCCTGCACGTTCACACTGCAGCAAACTCGGGGCCATATTTTAGCCACATGGGGTTATGTGCAGTCTCCACAGAGCTGCCCTCAACACCTCCCTGCAGCAGCTTGCTGAATCTGCCTCTTTTTTTTTGTTTTTTTTTTTAAATTTGGATTCTTGTTTTCCTTGCAAGAACAAAAGATTCTCTAGAATCCTTCAGCCACCAATGAAATGATCAGGCAGTAGAAAAACTTTAGATGGGAGTCTTGTCATCAAAAATACAGTTGCAGGGCGCTGCTTAAGATCTGAACCAAACTGAAAATAGGAAGGCAGGGGCAAGAAAGTTATTTTAAGAACCCTCCCTCACCCACCCACCCACAGTCACTCTGTGGGCTGAGCAGGGAGCAGGAAGCATGTCTGGTCACACCATCTTGGGATAAGAAGCCATGCTGGGGCCAGGCGTGGTGGCTCACGCCTGTAATCCCAGCACTTTAGGAGGCCAAGGTGACAAATCACAAGGTTAGGAGACCGAGGCCATCCTGGTTAATGGGGTAAAACCCTGTCTCTATTAAGAATACAAAAAATTAGCTGGGCATGGTGGTGGGCACCTGCAATCCCAGCTACTCAGGAGGCTGTGGCAGGAGAATTGCTTGAACCCAGGAGATGGAGGTTGCAGTGAGCCAAGATCGTGCCACTGCACTCTAGCCTGGACAATGGGGCAAGACTCCATTAAAAAAAAAAAAAAAGTCATGGCTAGATGGATCGGATTGCTGATGGGGCACATGGAACTGAACTTGAACATGATGCCAGCACTGGGTGCGGGGGGTGGGAACAGGAGGTGCCACCCTCATTGCTGCAACTCCTTAATTCTGTTGAGGGCACTGCTGGCACCGAAGGTGTGGTTTAGGAGGATGGTCTGCTGGGTCCCACTGGGGTGCTTGATAATTGCTCTTGTGGATCCTGGCAAAGCCCTTGGTGATGATGGCTGGGCCCCCGAGGTCACCCCAGCACTGTGTGTGCCTGGCTCAAGCCCTCACTGTAGTTCTCATCTCTGATCACCACCCACCTTATGCCATGTTTCTTTTAGTAGAGGGCGGTGTCAAGAACAGAGCCAAACTCCCGGGTGACTGCATTGCGCATTGAGTTGGCCTTGCCATTTTCAGTGTTGATGGCACCGATGAGCAGGTTGTTGGAGATGCTGTCCAACTGCCCATGGAACCTGAGCCAGGGACCAGCAGCCGAGATGTGGTCAGTCATACACTTTCCTTTGACCATGATGAGGATCTGCAGGTCCTCCAGGTCCTTGCCATCCCACTTGTCAAAAGGCCCCAGGAGCTGCAGGTGCTGGCTGGTGGGGCTCACGACCATGTGTCGCCTGCTGCTGTCCTTGGGGGGAGGTGCTGTCCTTCCCTGGGTCAACCTCTGCTTGGGGAAGCCCATCTGCACCCGAAGCCTACAGCTTGAACTTCTCACCATCCTTGCCTGTCAGGTAGTTGGTCTCTGGGATGAACTTGAGGGTTCCCACAATGGCCAGGGCTGTGACAATCTCTGGGGACATGATGAAGGCATGGTTCTCAGAGTTCACGTTGTTGTGGCCCATGAAGTTCCTGTTGTAGGATGTGACAATTGTATTCTTCTCTCCCTTCTTGATGTCCTTCCTGCCCCACTGGCCAATGCAGGGGCCAGAAGCATTGGCCAGGACGATTCCGCCCTCATCCTTCAAGACCTGTGCAGAGCTGTCCGGCTCAATAGTGGTGTGGATCTGCTCGGCGTCTGGAGTGATGGTGAACTGGGACTTGCACTTGAGGCCATGGGCCAGTGCCTGCTTGGCCACGGCTGCTGAGAGCCCCAGATCAATGTTTGTTGTTTTGTTTTGTTTTGTTTTGTGGTGTGATCTCAGCTCACTGCAATCTTTGCCTCCCAGGTTCCAGTGATTCTCCTGCCTCAGCCTCCCAAGAGAGTAGCTGGGACTACAGGCGTGCACCACCACGCCTGGTTAATTTTTGTATTTGTTTTGTAGAGATGGGGTTTCACCATATTGGCCAGGCTAGTCTTGAACTCCTGACCTTGTGATCTGCCTGCCTTGGCATCCCAAAGTGCTGGGATTATAGGCATGAACCACCGTGCCCGGCCCCTGTGAACAATGTTAATACTCTTCTCTAGCAGGTCATAGTGGATGTATTTGTTGGGCTCAAAGTGGCTCACTGCCACCTTGGCCCATTGGCACAGGACTGAGCCCACATGGTTCTGCCACACACCCAGAGCTTTCTGCAGCTGGGTCACCAGTAGGCTATAGGGCACCATTTTGTGCACTGACAAAAGATGAGGTCGGTGAATCTGCCTCTTTATCAGGGATGTCACTCTCCCCAGTTGGTGGCTCCAAGATGCCGTCCCTAAGGCTGTCTGGCCAGGGATGAGATGAGATGCCTCTTCTCACTGTTGTCACATCAGCCTGAGCAACCTCATCACATGGACTCTCAGTCACTTGCTCATCACCCACCAGACATCCAGGACCTCTGTGTGGCTGGCAGATGGGTGAGTATGAAGGGTGCAGATCTGGGAAGCCTCTGGGCTCCGTCACCAGACACACTGGGCTCGATTCCTGCCTCCTCTGGTTGCCAGCTGGAAACCCTTTCACTAGACACTGATGTTACTTCAGGTTCATTTTCCTCATCTGCGAAATGAAGATCCTCTTACTCATCTTGCAGGGATGGTGGAAATGCTGAATTATATCTACAAATAATTGGATATATTAATAATCCCAGCCACGTAGCAAATTTTCATTGCTTAAATGTAGCGCCACCTACTGGACATTTTAACCAATAACATTAAATCCGCTTGGACATTCCGGGGACGATTTCATGCGCCTCCTTTCCATCCTGCCATCCTCAGTACGTTGCTGGATACACCCGGACCCTTGCTGTCCAGCCTGCAGGCCGCCAGCCTCATGCGGCTGCTGACCACGTCCGCTGTGGCTAGTTGGATCAGAGACGCGCCCTCAGTGTAAAAGGCACACTGGGTTTTGAAGATTTAGTAGGAGAAAAAGAATGTAAAATACTTCAACAATAATTTTTTTTTTTTTTTTTTTTGAGACAGAGTTTCGCTCTTGTTGCCTAGGCTGGAGTACAACGGCACTCTCGGCTCACCGAAACCTCCATCTCTCTGGTTCAAGCGATTCTCCTGCCTCAGCCTCCCAAAAAGCTGGGATTACAGGCATGTGCTACCATGCCTAGCTAATTTTGTATTTTTTTGTAGAGACTGGGTTTCTCCATGTTGGTCAGGCTGGTCTCGAACTCCTGACTTCAGGTGATCCACCCATCTTGGCCTCCCAAAGTGCTGGGATTACAGGTGTGAGCCACTGTGTCTGGCCCCCAATAATCATTTTTAATATTGATTACATTATTACAATTATTGCCATATTTCTTTTTACCTTTTTAAATCAAGCTGCTAATGGCCAAGTGCAGTGGCTCATGCCTATAATTCCAGCTCTTTGGGAGCCGAAGCAGGTGGCTCACCTGAGCTCCACGGTTGGCGTGCAGTGCCACGATCATAGCTCACATGTGCCACTGTGGCCAGCGAATTTATTTTTAATAGAGACAGGATCTCACTATGTTGCCATCTTGTCTTGGACTCCTGAACTCAAGTAATCCTCCTGCCTCTGTCCCCAAAACTGCTGGAATTACAGGGGTGAGCCCTCCACACCCACCAGGCCTGTGCTGTTGAGGTGGAAAGGGCTTCCGATTTTCCAAGATGCTTTCAGCAAGAAGCAGTCATAATACAAGTTGGGAAAACATCGACTTGTCAAATGTAAACGCCGAGGTCCAGAAAGCAAAGGCCGGTATATTACATTGTATCGTGTACATGGATGACAAACACTTCAATCTACATCAAATTTAAAGAGCAGTTTTCTGATTCTGGGTATCATGGCTCAGAGGCATTGTGATTCACCCTTGCAAATTTCTAAGAAATTAGTTGGTAGAGACCAGAAGGCAAACGTGAGAAGAAATGATTAAAGAGGTCACTGATTGGAATAAAAGGCTTATTTACACCCAGAGTCTTTCAAAAAGAAGAGAAACCAAGCAGTCAGTTGAACGTTTAAAAAAAAAAATTAGAGGTCGGGCTTGATGGCACACGCCTGTAATCCCAACACTTTGGGAGGCCAAGGTAGGTGGATAACCTGAGGTCAGGAGTTCGAGACTACCCTGGCCAACATGGAGAAACCTCAGCTCTACTAAAAAATACAAAATTAGCTGGGCGTGGTGGCACATGCCTGTAATCCCAGCTACTTGGGAGGCTGAGGCAGGAGAATCTCTTGAACCCGGGAGGCGGAGGTTGTGGTGAGCCAAGATCATGTCATTGCACTCCAGCCTGGACAACAAGAGCAAACCTCTGTCTCAGAAAAAAAAAAAAAAAAAAAATTAGAAACAAGGCAAAGAAAAATGACCATACTAGAGGAAGCAGATACATCAAAAAGCCAGAAAGATAATGAAAGATGAGAATCTAATTATAGAATATACAAGTTTAGATTAATTTCGAAAGCTCTGCACATACATTTGGAGAGAAAAAAAGATAATGCAAAATCAGAGAAAGGCCGGACATTCTCAGTTACTTCCTCTCCATCTTCCTCAGCCTCAGTTTCCCATCTTATGAAACCAGACGATCTGTAAAGCTCCTTTCAAGCCATGTTTGTAATTCTACAAAATAAACAGCTGCCTGGAGGTCTTTTATTTCTCAGTTTTTATCTCCAAAATTTCACAGGCAATTCTTGTAGAGAAAGTAAAAATTACATATGAGCTAATTATGTAGAAAGGCTAATTAAAATGATCTTACCACCTAGAGATAGCCACTGTGAATATTTCAATGTGTATTCTTCTCGATTCACATAGACATACATAGAAATTATGCTGTACAAATTTCGGTATGGCCTTTTTCAGTCAACGAAATATTGCAAGGATGTTTTCTTGTACTGGTTTCATTTCTACACCACTGTTTGTGACCACTGCCAAGTATTTTGGTCTAAGTGAAAGCATCAGGGTATAATATTCACTGCAGGTTGTGTTGTAGTGGAAATGCAAGTGTGTCCAGATTGGAAGAGATGAAGAAAATTGAGAAAATAACAATATTTTTCCTTGCATGATGCCTTCTGCTTTACCAAAGACTTGCATAGAAGCTTTGTAGTCAGCCGGGCTCCGTGGCTCACACCTGTAATCCCAGCACTTTGGGAGGCCGAGGTGGATGGATCACTTGAGGTCAGGAGTTCACGACCAGCCTGGCCAACATGGCGAAACCCCATCTCTACTAAAAATAGAAAAATTAGCTGGGCGTGGTGATCCATGCCTGTAGTCCCAGCTACTTGGGAGGCTGAGGCAGGAGAATCACTTGAACCCAGGAGGCAGAGGTTGAAATGAGCCAAGATCACGACATTGCACTCCAGCCTGGGAGACAGAGTGAGACTCTATCTCAAAAGCTTGCAGGGCATGGTGGTTCATGCCAGTAATCCCAGCAGTTTGAGAGCCCAAGGCAGGGGGATCACAAGATCAGGAGATCGAGACCATCCTAGCCAACATGGTGAAATTCTGTCTCTACTAAAAACACAAAAATTAGCTGGGCGTGGTGGCGAGTACCTGTAATCCCAGCTACTCAGGAGGCTGAGGCAGGAGAGTCACTTGAATTAGGGAATTGGATGTTGCAGTGAGCTGAGATTGTGCCATTGCACTCCAGCCTGGTGACGAGAGTAAGACTCTGCCTCAAAAAAAGAAAAAAAAATCTTTGTAATCTACAAAATGTTTTTACATCTTCAGACTGCCCAACTAGCAGTGTCTAGTATATGCGAAGCATGAATAAGTGCTATTAAATAAATGGGAAATGAAACAAATATGCATTATTATATGTATTCCTTATAAAACTGGGATTTGTTCGGTAGGCCTCGTTCTCACTTTTATGAATTTTAAGGCTGCCTCTGTTACCGTGATCAAATCTATTATGATTTACATAGCATTCACACAGACTGATCTCATTTGAGCCACCCAGCCACTCTGTAACTAAGTAGGGTAGCTAGCATTAGTCTCATAAAAGAGAGGCAGGGGCCGAGGCGGAGATCATCAGGGTCAGATAGTCAATCAGTGGAAGAACTTGACCTTACACACAAGCCCATGACGCTTTCAGTTGCTTCCTGACTGTGACAAAATGTCCTATCCCACCTTTTTTTAAGCAGTTTGTGCTATAGTGAGGCAGAATCACCAGTGTGCAGGGAAATGTTTACCATTCAGCTCTGGGTGAGCGGGGAGGAGGGAGCCCTGATTTGTGGAGTGTGCTGGTTTCTGTGGTGTGAATACTCCTATATAGCAGATTTGAAACTACTGACGCTATGTCATGGTGTCATTGCGCAGAGATGTGAGCAATCAGCTCATGGGTGTCACCTGGCTCCAGTGCATCCCTGGGTGGAATGAACTTTCTTTCTGCCTGATCGTTAATTCCTGGAGGCCAAGAAGCACATCTCTCTGCAGCTTACACTGTGCTATGCACACAGATGGCAATACACCAGCGTTCAGGCTCAACATGTGTTCAGCCATGGTTTCTCATTCTCTGGTTTCCTCACCCTAAAACTGGGGAATTACTTGGGGACAATCCTGTCCCCTTTACCATTTCCCTATCCTTCTCCATTCAAGTCCTGGTCACACCCTGAGGCAGAGTCATGGGCCCAATGCAAGAAGAGAGGCCTTGGGAACCTCAGGACCTCGCGGGGTGTTGTATTGGTTTTTATTTGTTCGTTTGTTGAGATGGGGTCTTGCTCTGTTGCCCAGGTTAGACTGCAATGGCATGATCACAGCTCACTGCAGCTTTGACCACCCTGGCTCAAGCAAACCACCGTGTCTGGCTAATTTTTTTAATTTAAAATTTTGTTTTAGAGACAAGGCCTTGTGCTAACCTACCCTACGTTAGCCTGACAGACTCCATCTTCACCTCCGCCTCACCCCTCCCACCATTTCCCCCTTGAGTGCACACCTGGGTCATGCCGCTGTGGGGGTCGTGCTGCACTCAGAACTATAGAAACGTATAACCATTGCAGCCATATCCTGCTCAGCAGGCCCACTCGCTACTCTGAGTACCCCGTTGATTGATTGTACGGCAATTACCCTTGGAAACCAGCAATCAAGGGAACCACTTGCGTATACTCTCCTTAGTAATCAGCAATCAGGGGAACCTCCTGCCTCCTAGTGACCAGCCTCCTTATCTAACTTCCTTGCTCTGCTTCTGTAGATTCCGCTTCAGCTACACTCTCCCCTCTCCTAACTTAGGAAAGA